CAAAACTAGAAATTGGTTTTTTGAAAAAATTAATAAAATTGACAAACCACTGGCAAATTTAACAAAAGAAGGAGAGAATGTAAATAACATGAATAAGAAATGAAATGTGTGACAACACAACAGAACCCACTGAAATAAAAAGAATAATATCAGGATACTATGAAGAACTGTACTCCAACAAATTTGAAAATCTGGAAGAAATGGACAGATTTCTAGAAACATACTACATACCTAAACTAAGACAGACTGAGGTGGAAAAGTTGAACAGACCCATAACAAAAGAAGGAATTGCACAAGTCATAAAAAAATCACCACCAACAACAAAAAAGTTTTGGCCCAGATGGTTTCACCATAGAATTCTACCAAACATTCAGAGAAGAACTGACACCAATCCTACTCAAACTATTCCAAAACATAGAAAAGGATAGAATCCTCCCAATTCATTTTGAGAAGCAAGCATGACCTTGATACCAAAACCAGGCAAAGACATCACTCAAAAAGAAAACTACAGACCAATATCCTTCATGAATATAGATGCAAAAATCTTCAATAAACTCCTAGCCAGTAGACTCCAACAGCATATTAAGAAAATAATTCATTATGACCAAGTGGGGTTCATAAGAGATATGCAAGGATGGTTCAACATTAGAAAAACAATCAACATCATCCAACACATAAATAAAACAAAGGAAAAGAACCACATGATCATACCAATCAATGCAGAAAAGGTATTTGATAAAATTCAGCACCCATTCATGATCAAAACTCTCAGCTAAATAGGAATAGAAGGGACATTCCTCAACATAATAAAGAGCATCTATGCAAAACCAACAGCCAACATTATTCTCAATGGAGAGAGACTGAAACCATTCCCCTTGTGAACAGGAACCAGACAAGGATGCCCACTATCACCACTTCTATTCAACATTTTATTGGAATTCCTTGCCAGAGCAATAAGGCAAGAAAAGGAAATCAAAGGCATCCAAATTGGTAAGGAAGAAGTCAAACTATCCCTATTTGCTGATGCTACGACCCTATACCTAGAAAATCCAAGAGACTCAGTCAAAAATCTGCTGGGACTAATTGAGAGATTCGGCATAGTGGCAGGATACAGGATCAATATTCAAAAATCAATTGGATTCCTCTACACCAGCAAAGAGATTGCTGAAAAGGAAGTAAAGAAATCAATATCATTTACAATAACCTCCAAAGAAATAAAATGCTTGGGAATAAATCTTACCAGGGACACAAAAGACCTGTACACAGAAAACTATAAAACACTACTTCAAGAAACCCTAAGAGAGCTACATAAATGGAAGAACATACCATGCTCATGGATAAGATGATTGAACATTGTGAAAATGCCAATTTTACCCAAAGCAATCTATACATTCAATGCAATCCCAAACCAGATCCTATCAACATTTTTTAAGGATATGGAAAAAACAATCACTAACTTTATATTGAAAGGAACGAGACTTCAGATAAGCAAAACACTATTGAAGAAGGAAGAACAAAGTAGGAGGTCTTACACTGCCGGATCTCAAAACCTACTATACAGCCACGGTAGTCAAAACTGCCTGGTATTGGTACAATGACAGATTCATAGACCAATGGAATAGAATTGAGAACCCAGAAATAGATCGATCAACCTATGGTCAGCTGATCTTTGACAAAGGGATGAAATCCATTAAATGGGAAAG